AAAACGTCCCCGAGGGTATTATATTTAAAAACAATAAATAAGAAAACCGTCGAAATTTCGTCCGCTAAAAATATTTTTACGACGCGAGTTACGTCGAGAGGAAAAAAAAAAAAATTTCTGATATTTTTTTTCCTTACCTGTTAATCTTGTCTTTGTTATCTCTTTATTCGATTCAAACCGTTCGCGATCCATACATCAACTGTTGAGCGCATATCTCGCTCTTACAAATTTTCCCTTCGCATGCTGGCTACAAACGAAACGAAACGAAACGATGGGAAAAATGTCGCGAGGGTATTAAAATTAAATAAATAAAAAAAAAACTGTCGAAAATTTTCGTACGTAAAAAATAATTTTTAACGAACGCGAACTTTACGTCGTGGAGGAAAAAAAAAAAAAAAAATTTTCCCTGCTTTTTTTTTTCTTTCCCTGTTTTTCTTTTTTTTTTTTTTTCTTTTTTTTTTTTCGATTCAAACCGTTCGCGATCCAAACATCAACTGTTGAGCGCATCTCTCGCTCTCAAAAATTTTCCCTTCGCATGCTGGCTACTGCCGTCGTGTTTCTTTCTCTACCCCCCTTTCCCCCTTTCTCTCTTTCCCTCTGCTTTTTTCCCCTCTTTTTCCCGTTTTTCTTTAAAAACTTTTCCCGCCTTTTTTTTTTTTTTTAAATTTTGTACAATTTTTCGGAATTTTATATAAAGGAGGGAATTTTTTTTTTTTTTTTAAATGAGTTTTTTAATTAATTTAACGAATGAATATTAAGTCAACTTAAAATAATTTATTTTTTTTTTTTACACAAGATGAGACAAGACGGCGACTTTGTCAAACTGCTAAAATATTGTTGGCATGATGAGTAGTTTATTGTAATAAGGGCACAAACGACAATTATTTAATCAAAAAAAAAAGTTTTCCGGGATCGATTTTTTTAAAAATATATATCGATACATATCGATCGAGATATAATAATAATCGAATCGTTCGATTTTTTTTAACTTACCTTATTTATCGCACGTGTGGAAAGAAAGGTTAGACGTAGGGGAAATTTTTGGTAGTAATAATTTTTTTCGTAGAGTTTTAAACGCGATAGGAAAGTGGTCGAAACGATCGTGGCAGGAATTTTACTACACACAAACAAAAAATAAAGAATGAAAATGCGCGGGAAATAGTTTGGAAGTGTGGATGGGGAAGGGATTGAATGGGAAATTATTTTTACGCGCGTAAATTTAAATTTGTTTTTTTTCCCCCTCCGTTACTCAGGTGCATTCGAATGCAGGTGCGTTAACGAAAATTTTTATTTTTATTTTTTCGTATCGCGACGAAATTTATTTTTTCATTTTAAAAAAAAAAACAAAACTTGGCAGACATTTTTAAAAAAAGTTTATATAATAATAATAATAATAATAAACCAAGTTTTACATAATAATGATAATAATAATTAACCATACGAAAAACTTTTTTGATTCGTTTTAAAATTATAAAATCAATTCAAAAAAAATAAAAAAATAAAACTAAAAATAAAAAACTTTTTACCGACGTGAAAATTCAACGGAAACAAACGAACAAACGACCAAACAAACAAACAAACGGGAAAAAAAAAAATTTTTTTTTGACGACGTGACTTCAACTTCGTATCGATTTTATTCGAATTGTTTTTTTTTTTTTGGCGCGCTTTTTAAATAATTTTTTTTAAAATTTTTTTGCAAAGGTTTATTTATTATTATTATTATTATTTTCAAGGTCTGTCATTTCCTTTTTCGATTATTATTATTATTATTATTATTATTATTATTATTATTATTATTATTATTATTATTATTATTATTATTATTACTATTATTATTATTATTATTATTATTATTATTATTATTATTATTATTATTATTAAAACAAACAAACAAACAAACCCTTTCAAATAAAAGCATAAAAATTTTTTAGAGAAGGGTGGGGGGAAAAGTAATGGTCACCGAGTCGGTTATGCCCTTTTTACTCGTTATTAATAAAAATAACGAATCGAAACATGTGAGTAGTCGTCCGTCTGACACATCGCAAATGCCATGTTTCGTATATGTGCAATACATATTACACGTGATTCAAATTAATTACCAACAAGTAGTTGGTACTATTTTTTTTTTTTTTTTTTTATTAAATAACGTGTGATTTGTTTTGTTTTTATTACCGTTATTTGTTTTGTTATTATTACTATTATTATTATTATTATTATTATTATTGTTAATTCGTAATCCGTTAAGGATCCGTAAGGATGAACACTTTAAAATTTACGGATGGTGAACTTAATGTAATGTCTTATCGACAATTAAGAAAGATATGCTTATTGTTAAGGTTACCAGCGAATATAAAAGTAAGTATTGGTTATTATTATTATTTGTCACAGACCGATTCGTATCGATATAGGGGGGAGTTAAATATATGGTAAAATAATAATGATGATAATACTTGCTAACGGTGTTTTCTTTTTTTTGTTTTTGGTCGATAGAAGAAATACATGGTGTCGATGATAAAAGCTCATCAGAAAGGTGATATTTGTGCGAAAGTTGCAATCGCGAACAAGATATTGGAAGAGAGAAAAATTAAAAAATTTGGTTCGAAAAATAATGAAGAAATTATTGTGAGCAAACCTTACGTTATGACATCATCATCATCATCAACAACAGGAACAACAGGATCAACGCAACAGGTGAATTTTTTTAAAAATATTGCATCATTATTATTGTTGTTATTATTATTATTATTACTATTATTATTATTTGTATTTTTAAAAGTTGCTTTTCTCTCTCGTTTGATAATAATTTTTTTTTTCGCTCGCTCCCAAGGCGGGAAATTCAAAATGAAAATAACTCCGTTAGAGAGAGAGTAGAGGGCGGGAGATGTGGCAACGTCGACATTCGAACGAAATTATTTTTTAAATTCTCATTGGTCGATAAGCCGTAATGAATAATTTTTAAATTTCCCGCCTTTTTTTTTTCTCTCTCCCTCGCTTGTTTATGATTTATTTAAATGAAGTTCGAAAAGCTATATAAAAAACGTAGAGAGAGAGAGAGAGAGAGAGATGAAAGAGAGAGATATTGGACAATTGTTCAATTTTTTTAAAGTTATATATAATTTGTTTTGTCATGTTGGCAAAATCGTTTGTCGGGTATTACGAATTATCATCGTAAATTATTTATTTGTTTATTTGTTTTTTTGTTTGTTTGTAAGTAACGTTTACCCTTTTTTTTTGTGTCTTTTTTTTTTTCTTTTTTCGATTTCTTTTTTTCTTTTTTTTTTTTTTTTTTTTTTTTTTTTTGGTTTCAACTCGTTCTTGAACTTGGGTTTTTTTTTGTTTTTATTACGTTTTTTTTTTTTTTTTTTAAACCGAATTTTTTTCCCTGTTTAAAATTCTCATCGGGTTTCGTAAGCTTTTTTCGTTTCTTTTTTTTTTCTATTTTTTTTCCTTTTTTTTTTTTTTTTCTCAAAATGATGCTTTATCGACTGCTCCACGCCGTTTTTTTTCTCTTTTTTTTGTCTCTCTCTCTCTCTCTTATTTTCGTTCGACACGAAAATAATAAATAACTTTTTTTTCCTCTTCTTCTTGTCAATCGTTCGTTCGTTTTGCAAAAACGTTTTATTTTTTTTTTGTTTTCCTTTTCGTTTATTTTTTAATTTTTTTGCTTAAATTTCGAAGTTGGAAAATTAGTTAAAGAAGTAAGGAAGCATGAGAAAAAGTACTGAAATTGTGTAAAAATATTTTTAAAAAATTATTTTCCATCAATTTAAATAAGTATTAAGTTTTTTTTTTTTTTTTTTTTTTTTTTAAATCAAAAAGACAGCCAGGATTGTATTATTGTTTTTTGTTTTTTTCGGATAAAGCAGTTTTCCCGGTTTCGCAAGGTCATCTCGCGGAATTTTTCCGAACCAAAAACTGTTTTACCCTTTGAAAAGGTTTTTTCCCCTTTCATGACTTTTCAAAAATTTGATGAGGAAAAAAGCGTCGTGATGGCGCTCACTTCAGCAAAAATCCCCAAACGTGAAACAAGACGAAAAAATTTTTTCTTTTCGCACGTCTGGGTACCATTTTTTCTTTTTTTTTTTTGCCCCTTTTTTTTTTTTTATCGACGAATGCCGATATTTTTTGTCATGTTGTTTTTTTCAGATTCCGACGGATTTGTCGTTGGCGCCGAAACACGAAATCGAAGCAAGATTTTCGTACATGACACACTATTCGGAGAAAAACAATTCCGTGTCACGATTAATTAAAGATGATATTGAAGCATCTCGTCGGAACAGCAGGAACGAATTCACACAAGCTCGAAAGCCGAACAGAAAATTACCGAACATGGAAAGAACGGAGGTAAAGGGAATCATTACGAACGTTCCTTCCGGTCCAGGTTGTGTGGACCCGTTTGGAGAAAGATAATTTTTTTTCTTTTTGTTTTTAGATCATGCTTCCGAGGAATCATTCGTTGACGACGCCCGTGAGATTGATGCCCCAATACGAAAGAAGTTACGTTCCGTCCATGGCCTACGAAACCGTGGTACCTGGATACACGAATTCGAAAAATCACTTTCAGGATTCGGGTGGCGTCACAACCGTCGGTTACAATTATCATTTTCACGGGGATTATTCGAACGGTTTTGTGGTGCCCCCACCTGGGTCTCAGCCCCCTCAAACATCTTTACCGTCTTCCTCGCACGACATCCATCGTCCCGAAACGTATTGGCATCCGGTTAGTAAAAGATGTCGGGGGTTTTTTTTTTATGCGTTTTTTCAACTGCTTTAGGTCTTGGACGTGTAAACTCTGACTGACTTTATATTTCTTTTCTAAAAGTCGAAAGAACATTTTAATGGAAAGACGACTTTAAAAGATGGCCGAAAGAGAAGAAGGAAAAACACAAAAAAATTTAAAATTCAAAACGCATATCGAACTCGATTTTCTTTTCTTTCTATCTATAATATGATGAATCAATTTTTTTTTGAATTTTTATTTGTTTACTATCCGAGTTAAATTGGAAAAACAAAAAAAACAAAAAAAACGGTTTTCCAAAAGAAAATTTGTTTTTTTTTTTTTTTTTTTACAGAGAGAAATGTACAACAATTCGATGATGCCGATTTTGTCAACTTTGCTCACACCGACTCCGGTTACCAATACCATGCCTAATTACACACACGGACAATATACGAATCAAAACGTAATGAAAGGTTCGACGGAATTGCAGGTTTGTAAGCGGGACGGATGTGACGTCATGAAATTGTCATCTGTTACGTTTTTTGCAAGCCGCGTTTGTTGCACGTTTTTTTATTTTTTCCAGTCGAACGTTTACGAAAAATGTTTCAAAAATGGTAATAGCCTGGAGGAAAATCACGGAATGAGTACGAACGGAACGATCATGTCGAACGGGTCTTATCCCGATGGTAATTACGGTTCTTATGCCGAACACCCCGGGTAAAGTATTTGTAACTGAATTAACGATCGGAATATTTTTCAAAGCGCTGGAAAAACAAAAAAAAAAAAATGAATGAATGAATGATTTTTAAAATAATTTTTTGTGTTATTATTATTCAGAGTTGTTTTCGTGAAGAAGAACGAAATTAATTATGACATGGGGTCGTCGCCGGTCGACGGAAATTATCAACATGGTTGCACCAATTTGGATTCGACGACGAATCATCTCCACCATTCGAAAATTCAAAACAACGGTCACGCATACGGACAAGAATATTACGTGGCGAAAAACGATGGTTCGCAATTGGCACCCAACGGAACGACGAACGGTCGAACGTTTTACACTCACGAAGGAGAATTTTTTTCAGTATTGAACGAACCGTCCGGAGACGTTTTGCGGAAGGGAATGATGCCCTTTAACTCGGCGAACAGGATTCACGATTCGTCGAACGTCGTCGACTACCCTCATTTCGAAACGTATTCGCCGCCGTCGATAAATCAAACGCACGGATTCAAAAGGTTGTGCACGGAAGAAGGAAGAGAGACTGACGAGAACACGTCGAAAAGACTGGATCACGAAGACTTAATCGAATTGATATCGGAAGCAGAAAAGGAGGGATACGGTGAAATTGTTCCCTATGTAGAAAACGAGAGTTCGGTGGTATCGGACGCGTCCGAAAGTTCTAACGAAGACGACGATGGTGGTGGAAAGGGTGGCGGCGGCGGCGGCGGCGGCGATGACGTTGATCTTAAAATTCCGATAAGTCAAATACTCGGTGAGGAAAACGTGGGACAAATGTATCCGACGTACACGCGGTGCCAGTACGTTTTCAGACACGATAAATATCCAGAAGGGGTCGCTAAAAATAATGAAAACGTTTCCGGAACTCTCCCGTCGTTTTTGTCGACTTTTTGCACGCACGTAGACAACAATAAAAATTATTCGATCTGCAAGAATTCAATGACGGGAACGACGGAGGCTCACATGAATCCGATCATGACGTCGACGTACACGTCGCAATACGCGACGACAAATTCTCAATTGATTTCGGTACGTATCGAACTTCCGGGAGGAAGGGGTTTCCGAAAACACTGACGATTTTTTTTTTTTTTTAATAGAAATCCGATGAAAATTCTCAAATGTACTGTCCTTCGTGGTCGACGACGACGACGACGACGTCGATGGCGACGACGATGGCTACGATGGCGACGACGATGGCAACAATGGCGGCGACGACGCCGACAACGATTACGACAACGACGACGACGTGTATGGGATTTCCGGAAACTCATTCGTCATTTTCAATAGAAGACACGACGTATTCAACATTGTCGTGGAAGGAATATTCGAACGACGATATGGTGTTTATGTTATTTTATAAAAGGAAAAAAACACGTCGAAATCGTGTCGGAAACGTTCAGTCAATTGCGAATTTTAAATTTTAGACTTTATTTTTCAGGTTCGAAAATTAAGAAAAGCCTCGGAGAAAACGACAAAAAAATCGTCGCAAATCGTCGTGCGTCGAATGCACGGGTGTCGGTACCTACATTAAAAAGGATGCAAACCTTTGATGTCAAGGTAATAACCGTTCGGGTATTTTTTTTTTATTATTTTCGGATTTCTGTACCCGTTCGGGATACGGATTCTCGAACCTTGTTTTTTTTTCTTCTTTTGTTTTTCCAGGACGTTGCCTCCTTATAATAAAACAGAGTATGAAAGTGTGGTTATCAAGACATCCCGTGCCTGTTTTTCGTTTTAGAAAAAAAAAGGAAATCAAACTTTGTCGTGGTACCACCACCGCACCAAAATTTCTTGGAATCATGGAACGAATCAAATCAATATCACGTGTTTGTCGGAACCTGATTTTGCTTCAAATACCGACAAACAACATGGACGCGAATCCCTTTTTTTTTTTTGTTTTTCGGAGAGAAAGATTGTTTAAGTTGCTCCTGTCGTTGTTATTATTATTATTATTTCGTTGTGTCACAACAGCGTTTCTTCCGCAGTCGGTGATGTTGAATTCTTTTTTTTTTTTTTTTGTTGTTGTTTAAGAATTCAAATCGCGCTTTTTTTCAAAGGAAACTCGTCGTCCATAATGCGAATTTTAATTTTTTTGTTATTTTTTCTTAGTCTTCTGCTTCGAACATTTTCTGTCCGAGACTTTTCTGCAGCAGCAGCAGATTGTTTTTTTTTTTTTGTATTCTCCGTACGAGTGCTGCTGTTCTCCGCGATTTGAATTTTAAGGGAAGAAAGAGGTTTGTGGGGGGGGGAAATGTGTCGGCGGCAGCAGCGGGGAGACAGCAAAAATGCGTACACGTTTCTTCTTTTTTTTTTTTTTACTCGATTTAATGAAGATGATAATAATGATTTTTGTTTTTTGACGTCACACCATGAGAAAATAGATTTTTTTTTTTTTAGTTAGAATTAAATATTTTATTTATTTTATTTTAACGATTTTTTTTTTTTTTTTGTTAAACATCTTCGTTTTCGATTGTATTCGGGATATGAAAACCGTTACACCAACAACCGGAAACAGTTACTGTATTATTTTTTATTTTTTATTTTTTTATTTTAAATATATATATTTTTTACGTAAGAAAAATTAACGGAAATTGAATTTTTTTGGATTTGGTTTGTGTTGGTTTTTTGTTTTGTTCCTCTTTATTACTTTTTTTAATTTTTAGGAAGTTTTTCTTTTTTGGTGGAAAATCGGTGAGTTGTAGCGGATGAAGAGAAGAGAGGGAAAATGCGAAAAATGTCGTCAATTATTTAACGCAGTAGAATTACGACTTCCGGTATTATTATTATCATTATTATCATTAAAAAAAAATTGAGTAGAAGAAAAAAAAAGAAGTAAAGAAAGACGGAAATAATATAACGACTTACCAACAGCTGGATTTATTTTACGCCGTATGAATTTCAAAAATCTCGAGCTTATGGTGTGTTCTCCATGATTTTCCGTTAAATCTCCATTTTTTGAATTTTCTCTTTCACCACCGCCTCCTCCGTTTCGTTCTTTAGTTTTCGAACGTGAAAATCCGGATTGAGTTACGGCTCCAACGTTACTGTACATTTTTTTTCAGGTCGTCGTCGCCGTCGTCAAAAATCATTTTGACAAAATTCAACAAATGTGTTCTATCTGGAAAAGTAATTTTCCCCCGTTGTATTATTATTATTATTATTATTATTTGTGTCTTTGCATATTCGTAATTAAAAATTTATTATTATTTTACAGGAGGATTACGTTTGAAATCATTCATCATGTCGGATCGACCGTCAAATAAGAAGAGAAACGGGCGGTAGGAGGAAGGGGGAGAGGGGATGAAGAAGGGAGAAAAAAAAAAATTTAACGGATTTCAGGAGACGGAGGAGTACCAAAGAGAAAGGAAGGAAGGAAACGGGAAAATGAAAATTTTTGATTTATGCACCGGTAGAAAATCAAAAAACGTTTTTACTTTTTTTCCACTCCCCTTCCCTTCCCTCCTCCCTCTCTTTCGATTTTCCTCATTTTTTTTTTTTTTTTTTTTTTTTTTTTTTGCTTTCCCCTCAAAATTTTCCACCGTCCATCCCATCGTGATTCACACCCCCGTTCCCCAATCGTTTCCCTCTTGAAAATTTTACCGGGAAAAAATTTCGGGATTGCGTGTGTGTTCGCAACGGACGGGAAAAACTGGAAAATTATCCAGAAAAAAATTTTTTTTTTCCCAATCGAGGTAAAAAAAAAAAAAAAATTAATTCCAAAAACGTTGACATTATTATTATTATTATTATTATTATTATTATTATTATTATTATTATTATTATCAATTTTTTTTTTTTTTTTTTTTGATATTTAAACGTAAAATTTTCGTCCGCGGCAGGGCCGACCTTTTATTATTATTATTAATATCCTTGACCTTAAAGTAAAATTTTTTTTTTCGGGAGGTTATTATAGGGTTTAAATGCGAGACCTTAATTACCTTTCGGAAACGTTTAATAATAATAATAATGATAATAATTTTCTTTGGGATTTTGTTGTTGTTGTCGTTGTTGTTTTTGACTCCTATTAAATTAGGTTTAACCTTTTCTTTTTTTCTTTTTTTACAAATGGCGACGAACAACAAAAGGTTTTTCATTTTCCTTTTTTTTTTTTTTTTTACAAATAATATATATATATTATATCGTCGTGGCAAACGACGTAAACGTTCGAACAAACAAAACAAACAAACGAAAAGTTGAGTTTTAATGGACGGAGATGAGGAGAAGGAGGGGAGGAGGGAAAAAAATTGGGAATTAAAAAAAGGTTTGGAATTTTCCCAAAAAAAAAAAAAAAAAAATGAAAAGAAAAAAATCCAAAATCATTTTTTCCTCATTTTCCTCCCTCCCCCTTCGGCCCCCCACCATTTCGAAAATGGTTGGAACCATTTTTTTTTATTTTTAATATTTTTTCATCGTGTGATTAATGAATAGTAAATTTTTTTTTTTTTTTTTTTGTTTCAGCGATAATCAATGACAGACAATCATTCAATCGTTTTCATCCCTAAATAATAATAATAATAATAATAATAATAATTTACGTTTCAGTTTTCGAATTGCAAAAAAAAAAAATGGTGGACGTTTGTCGGCGGACGTAAAATGCGGAAAAAAATTCGGGTTGATGAATCAATTTGTAAAATTTTATTATAAAATTCTCTTGGTGAATTTTCTGCTTCCGGTTTAAATTTAAATTCGAGGAAGGAACACTCTATCCTGCAGGAATCGGCGGCCGAATTCCGTTTCCGTTCGGCGAACTGGAAAAAAATTTACTAGGATAAATTTTAAAACTACAATGGCGGGAATAAATTTTAATTTGAAATTTATAATTTACAGGTTCGTTCAGGAAAATTGTCGTTAAAATGATGGATCACGATTATAATCTACGTACGAGATATCGAAATCAATCGATAATCGATAATCGTTAATCGTTTTTTTTTTTTTTTTTTGTTTTAATGGGAAAATATTTTTTTAAAACCGGGAAAAAAAAAATTCATATCGAAAAAAGGAAAAATGATTTTTATTACGAACGGAATATTAATAATAATAATAATGGATTCTAACCATGCAACCGTAACGAACGAACCATCATCGGAATCGCCATCGTCGCCATTTTTCCGCGTGACGTAACGGAAAGAAATTTTTTTTTTTTTTTTTTTTCTGGATCGGAGAAAATGGGAAAAGGTAAATTTTGAAAAAGTGTAATTTTTTTTTTTTTTTTTTCCAAGTTTAAAGGTTATTAAAAAGTTTGATCGTGTCGTTAACCTTAATTTGTAATTTTCCACTTTTGGAAAATTCGAGATGGAAAATTTGATGAAAAGTTTTTTTTTTTCTCTCTCTCTCTCTCACTCTCACCCTCACTCTTCAAAATGTGAAACGAAATCGGTTCTTTTAATTACATTTATACGTGATTTTTTTTTTTTTCTAGATAAAAATTTAACGGTCGAAAACGGTGGGGGGGGGAAACCAAACGAGAGGGAGAGAGAGAGAGAAAATAAAATTGATTTTTTCGTGGAAATAGAAAAAAATAAAGAAGAAATTTAACGTAAAGGCGGCACGTGGCGGTAGAATAATGAATAATTCAAATTTAAGAAGAGAAGAATTTGTCGAAGGATATAAATTTTTGAAAAAATTAACTTTTGAACGATTTGGTTGGAAATCTGGAGTGGGGGGGAAAGAAAAAGTCACGTGGAAGCAGTGATAAATTTTAAAACGATCAGGTACTCCTTTTTTTTTTCTTTTACTGACACGTTTTGTCACATCGTCAGATTTGTCGTTTTTTGAAAATAACGGTCAAATACAATGGTCAAAATTATTTTTATCGAATACAACGAAATCGCGGATAATTTTTTTTTTCCGTATTTTCAGCCATTTTTTTTTTTTTTATCGTGCGAAACGTTTCGTTCTCTCATTTCCGGTTAATATTTCTAGAAAATTTTTCTATTAAAGTATAAAATTTCCCAGGGAAAAGAAATTTAATATTATTCAAAGGTAAAATTGATTAAAAAAGAAGTATGGAAAAGAAAAAAAAAAAAAAAAGAAAATTTTTGTTTTGTTTTCAACACACAAACAAACATTGTTTT